GCGCGTGTCGTTGTGTTCCAATTAGTATGTACATCTGCCATTATAATTTGTATCTAGAGTTTTGACAGTGTAAATATACTTTATATGTGTGTATGTGTGACGAGGGCGTTGAAATACATCTGCAGGAGGCTATCCATTCCCATTCGCGTGTGTCCAACGACACACAAACGCACACATGCTCATGTTACCACAAGAACACACACACACACACATGCACACACATGCACACACATGCACACACATGCACGCACATGTACACACATGCACACACACATGCACACACACAAGAACACACACACATACACCCACCTTGGCCGTGGACTCGGAACTGGAGGTTAATCTCAAAGCCAGGGTACTCCTCGTCGCCGGGCGGGTTGAAAGGGACAGTGTTCCAAAGGCTGCCGCGGCGAGACTGGCGGTCGGGCGTGAGGCGGATGTAGTCGTCGGTGACGACGGTGGAGCCATAGAAGTCCCAGTTGGGGATGGTCATGCCGTTGGTCATGTACGGGTGCTGCGGTGGTGGTGTTCCGTGCGTTGTTGTAATCGTGTGAGAACGATGAGCAAGGGCGGGGGAGGCGTTTGTAATTGGAAGCGGTATGCATTGAGGAGTACAGCCACGCAAGAGAAGTTGTGGAAGGAAGGACAGGAGAGCCAGTATGCAAGCACAGCGACACAGACATGCACGGAGAGAGAGAGAGAAAGAGAGAGAGAGAGAGAGACAGACAGACAGACAGAGAGAAACAGAGAGACACACACAAACACACACACAAGAACACGCACACACACACAGACACCCACACCCACACACCCACACACACACACAGACACACACACACACACACACACACACACACACACACACACACACACACACACACACACACACACACACACACACACACACACACACACACACACACCGTGATGGAGTGCAAGTGGTAGACGTAGCCCTTTGGGTCATGCACCCTTTTCGTCCTGTGATGCACAGCGGCTGTGTTCAGCGCGCATGCCGCAAGCACCAGCAGCACCGCCAGCACTGACATAGCAGACGTTAGCGTGGTCCCTGCCATCTCTGCTCACCCACTTGCTGTTCCTTGTGTGCGTGTGTGTCAGTGGCAGAAAACAAAAATGTGCACACACACACACACACACACACGCACACACACAAGAAGCAACAAGCAAGAAGTGAAGCAAGACACTGCTGCTCACTGACGTGCGACCACACACAGCACAGACCCGCTCTCGCCTGTCCACCCTCCAACCCCCTTGCCCACCTCTTCCCCTCCCGCGTTCCTTCAGGATGTCACAGCTCATCACTGCGCTCGGGTTCACGAACGGCGGCGATCGCATCCTCGCCGCCACCAACTCCAACCACATTGCAACGGGGAGGTCTGTGTGTGTGTGTCTGTCTGTCTGTGTGTCTGTCTGTCTGTCTGTCTGTCTATCTGTCTGTGTGTGTGTATGTGATTGCGCGCTTCTGCTCTCTCCTTCATGCCCACATTTCTCCCTGGCGCTCTCATGTGCTTCCTCTCTGCAGCGTCAGCGCCATCTTGGACGGCCTGGACAAGGCAGACAACACCAGTGATGACGACAAGAAGGCAACGTTGACCATGCACGGTGAGCACTTTGCTTGGCCCTGCGTGTGGCTTTCTCGCTTCAGTCAGCATGGCTTTGTCGCCCTCCACTCACGTACCACGACGTCGCTAACAAACAAACACACACTCACTCACTCACTCACTCACTCACTCACTCACTCACTCACTCACTCACTCACTCACACACACACACACACACACGCACACGCACACGCACAGAGTGTGCGGCCGGATATGGACGGGTGTTTGCCATTGATGCGATGCCAGGCAACGACGACAAGGCACTGCTGTGCCACCGGCGCAAGCTTGCAGTGGTCCAATTTGGTGACAGCACCTGTGACACATACAAGGTGCGCCACAGCAGTGTGATCCACGGCATCCCCACGCTGCGCCTTGGCAGAGATATGGCCAGAGTGAAGATGACAACTCTGTAATTCACGCTTCACACACGCGCACACACACACGCACACGCACGCACGCACGCACGCACACGCACGATTGCGTCAGGTGATGCAGTCGGCTGCGTTGCCCGGGAACGCGAGCAGCTGCCGATGCGTGTCGAAGGGGCTCGCGGCCGTTGGATTTGAGGACGGCTGGCTGCGGCTAGTTGATGTGGATGTGGATGGCGGGCGTGTCGTGGAGGAGAAGCGCATCCACTCCGATTGCATCAACGACATTGCCTTCAACGCAGCAACGTACTGTGTGTGTGTGTGTGTGTGTGTGTGTGTGTGTGTGTGTGTGTGTGTGTGTGTGTGTGTGTGTGTGTGTGTGTGTGTGTCTGGCTGGGCTGACTGCCTGTCTATCTGTCTGTCTGTCTGCCTGGCTGTCTGTCTGTGTGTGTGTGTGTGTGTG